ACAATAGTGTTTTCAAATATATCCTATAATGTCTAGCCAAATTTAATAATTACCGTTGCATGGTCTTCGGCGGCCACTGTATAAAGCAGAAGCATGAAATCCAAAATAAATGGCAGTCATTATTTTCCCCTGAATGACAATGAAGCTTAACATGCGTTCAGTATTTCTACAGCCGCCCAAATCACGGAGTTAGACAGAAACGCAAGTTTTTGCTGGGCGTCTTGTACAACTCTGTCGCACGGCCCTAAAGGGTTCTTCTTACCAATGTGTGCCTCAAAAATAGTCATGGAGTTTCTGGCATAGGAAGTCTAGGCTGAAGTGGGATTTTTCACAGTCGCTTCAAACTAAATAAAAAAATACTTGCATTTTTACGTTCACTACGTTAGAGCCGATTGCCCGAAAATGTTTAAACATCCCGTCGTTTTCTGCTGAAATTGCTAAAATTGACATTAATTATTCCAACCTCTATTTAAGATTACTAAGAAATCTACTCTCCCGCAGAACTAACCACTGGCCCAAAAGAACATTCCGAGTAAATAAAAACCTCCAAAGGGCTGTGAACTTACAGTAAATTTGCTACCCTTTCAGAGGTACCGCAATTTACACTAATGCATGCAATTGGATTGCACATGCAATGAATTTCCTTATATTTGCTTTTTAATTACATTTTTGTATTTTCTCTTATTTTAGCAGGGCATCCAAGAACCGCCTTGCTTATATCAACTGACTGGGTACTCAAAAGCCGTTCATGTGGATCTCTTTTACTTGAGCTCTACTGATCTCAAATGGACTGGCATCAATTCCTGGATCCGCAGCTTGTCCTCGGAGTGGGGGCATTTGCCCTTGGTCTGGCTAATGCCTACGTTCAGAGGCATTTTAATCGCCAAGCTCAAACTGAGAACACCAATCAGCCCGAGAATGAAGAGCCCAGAGTGTCCGATGCTACAGGGGAATCCGAGCCAATTACTTCAATTCCCATAGAAAGCCCAGACGGTAAGAATATTTTGATGCAGTAACTCATCGAAATCTCATTAATTTTACAAAAAAGCTTTGTTGCTATACTGAGGGGGGTGGAATTGAAAAATGATTCTTAATAATTGGACATGTTTGTATTTATAAATCAATATTAATTAATAATGTTTTCATATTTCGCATCTTTGTATTGTGTTCACAAATAAATAGTTTTGAGGGAAGGCGAATAAATCTGGCACTGTAGCAATCTTTGTAACTAAGTTACCTTAGACTGTAAACCTATAGAAAGCATCTCCAAGAAAAAAACTGAGTGAAAGGTAAAGCATTTGTAAAACTATATTGGATGATATTCACGTAGTGAATGCTGTACATATATTTGCTTCAAGAATGAGGGCAATGTAGCGCATAGTGATTAAGAAGTAATCCTCCTTTCGAGTAGGGATTCAGTTTCTACTTTGTTCGAAATGCCTGAAGGGCCGAAAGGCCGGAAGGCCAAACGGCGTTTTTATCACAGAAACACAAGTATTGACAAGGTCACACATTAACAAGTTGGTCATCGACGAATACATTTTAATATACTTGCCAGGTGGATTTGGGTTCTCACGCAGACCAGAGGCAACCGATATGCGTCAGATAGTCATCTAAAAAACTGGAGTTGCCTGTAGGATATGAGGCAGTCGCGGACAAAGATACTTCTTTGGCGAAACCGTAAGAATTCTCAAGACGCGAATTGCCGAACACGTAGCAGCAGTGTGGAGAAATTACGTCAACAATAAAGTTGCGAATCACTTGACAAGACCCATCCACACATTCAAATTTTATGAGACCTCAATTCTCGTGAGAGCTGATAGTTGTGTAAGCCGTGAAGTACTTGAGTCATTATTCACCAGCCAACAGTGCAGCGATCTACCCAATCCATATCCAGTGATGAGGCTTAACTTGGCTAAAGCAAGTCGGCATCCGAAGAACGCACAGGTCAATGCATCGACTAACGCTAGCGCCAGAGATACAGATGGCGGAGCAATCATTACTTCCAATGCCACGACGTGTGAGAAAAGTTAAGCAGGTCGCGCTCCGCACGTTGGACACTAAGCAACTAACTCACCAGCGGGTAGATATCCTCGATAGGGGAGCCCTTAATTGTTATAGGTATGGAGCAGCAAAAGGGCTGTATGCCTTAAATGCTGCAAATCCCTATATATTATTTACTCGTGCCTGTTATCCTCTCTGATTATGGATCCGTGAAC